AACAATGGCTTCAAACTACAAGAGAGGAGATGCCATCTGAACATGAGGAAGAACTTCCTGACTGTGAGAGCCTTTCAGCCGTGGAACTCTCTGCCCTGGAGTGTGGTGGAGGCTCCTTCTTTGGAAGCTTTCAAACAGAGGCTGGATGGCCATCTGTCAGGGGTGATTTGAATGCAATATTCCTGCTTCTTGGCAGGGGGTTGGACTGGATGGCCCATGAGGTCTCTTCCAACTCTTTGATTCTATGATTCTATGACAAGTATTTTGGTGAAAGAGAGATTTCTTTGGCAACTGGAAGTGATTGGAAATGACTTGCTGTTAACTGCCTACTCTAGAAAATATTTCTCTCCTGGGAATAATATGGTTCTGAGATGGCAAAAGCATTGCCAAAGGTCTCTCCCATATATCTTTGCAGAGAAATAAGTTACTGGTGGGGACCCTGGGGCTGCAAAGCCACTCAATGAGCCACACTTGTCCATTCCTATTTTAAAGGATCAGATAAGAAATGATGTGAAAGATCTCTGCCAAAAACCCTGAAGAAGCACTGTCAAATAAACGTAAACAATGCTGAGCTAAGAGACAAAGAGTCCGACCTAAAAGGCAGCTTCAAGTAACAAAGGGGAGAAGAGGAAATAAAATATCTGTATCCAATCTGCCATCCATCTGGCCAGAAATTCCTGTCACATTCAGGTCTTGGGCATTAGTCAATGCCATCTGCAGAGCTTTCCCAAGCACTTCCATTGGCATGCCTCTTTAGTACTTTCCCTGAAGACGTTCCTGGTGCAGATCGTGCCCATTTGCATAAGCCAAATAAAATCTCAGGGTTCAGAAAAACATTACTTGGGAGGAGGAATCTCAGAAATCCAAGCTGCTTACCTGTTGCCCATGGAGAGACGATTTCCCCCTTTCTCCTTCCTGCTTTTCCCAGAAGATGCTCTTCTGAGGGTGACCCTATGGAGGATGAACAAGATGATAAATAAGGAAGACAAGGAAGAACTGGGTGCAGTTCTTGGAGATATGGGAAGGGGTGCCAGGATAATGCAAGGATGTGTCTCTGTCACCTACAATGTCTTTTTGAATGCGCAACAACCAGCTTCTGTGACTCACCCTAAGTCCAAGAACTTTCGCCGAGTTTTCTTGTCAAGCCCAACAGTGGGGCTCGCAGGCTCTGGTGGACTCGTGTCCCGGCTGTCATCTAGAAAAGGAAGGAAGGCAGGATGGTTGGAGAAAGCCAGCATTTTATCAAAAATAGGGGCAAACATTTGCAGCGTGAGATCAATTCCCTTCTAGGGTCTTTTCATCAGTTGCCCTCCTAGACTTTGGGATGACCTGCCGGAAAAGATTCGACTGCTAAATCCGCTGTCAAAATTAAAGATACAACTGAAGACCTATCTCTTTCAGAAGGCCTACCCAGTCAATTTTAACTGTGAATGTATTGATGTCTGTCTTTGATGTGTGTATTTTGATATATGCATTTTAATAGTGATGTATTGGACAGTCTGTCTTAATCATGTTGTACCTTGCCTTGATCCATTCTGTTAAATGCCATTCAGGATAGAAAAAGGGAGGCCTTTAATTCGACCTAGGGATCGGGGAACAACATTAGTAATTCCAAATCGGTCTCCTGATATGGTAAGTTGGTGTAACCAGGATGGCGGTCCC